ATCACATCGCGTAAGTGGAACTTAAGTAGGAGTGCTTGTTTAATGGATATTACAAAAAAATGTCACCTGAAGGGTAGTTCACCCCCTTGAGGGTGTGCAACATTGCTGAACAATATTGTGTTGTCACCGTCCTTATACAGAATACGTTTTTGCAAAGTTTCGTCGAAATCCCTCCACTGCTCCTACGAAAAATATTTAAAAACCCGATTTTTTGCTAAACTTTGGGGGGTTGTTTCACCCCTTAATTGTGGACCATTGCCGATATAAAAAATCACGTGTCTCTTAGATTTTTGTGTCCTTCAACATATATGAAACTCAATAAGATCGTGGTAAGGGGACTGCATACTTGTGTCTCTCTATATCCGCCCTGGAGGCCGTGTGTCCGAGGGAGATGGTCTATTTGATATGCTATCCGTCTCATAGAACAGGACAGACTTATGCGGCCGGGCTTCGGGCCCTGACCAATTATCGCTTCGCGTTGGCGTGGGCGGCACTGCTCGGCCGCGACCAGGGGCTCGAGGGGCGTGGCGTTCTCGTTTGCTCCTACGGGTCGCAATGGCCTCGTGCTTCCATTACCACTCTCAGAACTCCGGCCTCGGGCCTTCCACCCCTGCTGTGATGGTCTTGATGTTGGTTCCCCGATAACCGGATTATTGTCAATGTTTTCGTGCCGGCGATGAAGACTCTCTCTCTACCCCGGGCTGCGTTCTCGTCCCATCCGCAGCGGCGTTCTCCGTTGCTCTCTCGCGGATCTTATGCCTCCCGACGGCGTTCTCGCTTGTCGTCGTTCACCCTCGCGCCTTATCGCCCCTTCCTCCCGCGGCTCGCAAGGCGGATTGTCATTTTGTAGCGACCGCAATCAAGTAATTAACAGAGGGAATGGAGGATCAATTTCTCCACGAGTAATGTCGTCTCGAATTAACTGTGCCATCTAGTCGTAATGTTAACCCTTCGTTGTCCATATCTTTTTCGGACACGTTATTTAATTATTTGTATTTGTGTTGAAAATGCAAATAGATCATTTAATTTCATCTGTTTTTGCCAATGTGGCTATTTCGAGTTACGCGTGTTTTTTAACTTTTTCGAGAGTTGATTCAGAGATAGAACAAGTATCATTCTGATCGATTCTTTTCAAATATTCTCATTTCTTTGGGAGTATTTGATTTCAAACGGAAATAGATTCAAAGTCTATTTAAAAGTGGAAATCCATAATGATTTATTGCCCTTATTTCAAATACGACATGGATATGGTGATTTACGTTTATAAACAACTCGGATAAGAAAAGTCTTTCTTATGATTACGGGTGTTCATTTACATGCTCATTTAATGATTTGCAGATGTCCGTTTATTCAAGGAATTCGAAGAATAGTGTAGAACGTAAATATACCGGGTATTGCGACGGGATTCACCCTCTCGACCGTCAAATAGTCCTACGCCCGGTATCAAGTCCTGACCAGGGGTCGAGCCCGGTCTTCGGCTCTTCCGACGGCCCAATTTGTTTAGGGCGCCAGGTGCGCGCGCGCACCTCGGGCTGTCCGGAACCGGGTAGCCTGGAGCACAATGTCCCCGTCTGCTGGTCCTGGCCACCGGGTGTAGCCAACCGGCCACTCAACCCCGCGAGGACCTTACGCCCTTCGCGGCACGGCAGAGGCGGGGGGTTCGCCGCGGTACTCGTCGAGTGCGAAGATGTCCCTTCAGGCCCTACGGCTCGCGGCGGGAATTGCGGAAAAGGCAAAAGAAAAAGATCTGAAATGGCGGCAATAGGGGATCCCGACGAGATCGACTTTTATTAGCGCGCCGTTTCACCCGGGTCGCGTCCGATCACCTGACTGATCGTTACAAGGAAAAAGGGGCGCCCGTCGAACAGGACGGGCCCTTGGCGGGACGCAATAAATTACAATAAAATGAATCGCGATGTGATAAGGTACGGGGCTCGGAACAATAGGCGGGCGAGGGTCTCTTCCCGGCGTTCTTACGGAAATTAACCCCAATACGCGGCCCCGAACTCCTTCGGCCCGCGCGGACCGGAAGGTGCAGCCCGGCGCGAAAATGGCGGCTCAAACCCGGCCCGCCACGCGGTCGCCGGTCGGCCGTACTCCCCAAAACCCGGAGTGTCGGCACCCTCCGCCCGACGTCGGGATTCCGGCTCACAAACGGACTTTACACTTGGCACGAGGCGGACACGGAAAACGACGGAAATGACTCGCGGCACTATAGGCGGGATATAAAATAGCGCGACTTAAGAGGCCCCCTGGGCAGGTTCGGGCTCATCGGTCGTCGGTCGTTCTCGGACGGGACTTCCTCCAGCGGAAGGACGGCACAGCGGGTGCTCGGCGGGACGCTCCCTCCGGGACGGGACGACCACCGGCTACGACGGGTGTCGGGACGGGACGGTCCTTGTCGGGACGGTTAAGTGAACTGCTCCACTGTCCTCGGGAGGTCCTTCCGCGTGGCTGGTCCCCTTGGCAATGGCGGTGTCGTTGACCGGACTTCCGCTTCCCGCCTTGATGTTCTCCTAGCGGGCCCCGCCGGACCTAAGCCCGGGAGCCGACCTGCCCTCTGGCCCCGTCGAAGTGGGTCACTAGGCCGACTAATTAGGTTGGCCACAGACCGATGGCAACAGGTCCTCCTAATTGCGGGACGCGTCACGCGTTTCCCCGGAACCGGGCAATCGGCGGTACTCCTCAGCCGGCGCGCAGTGTCTCCGTACCTAAGGTCTTAATGCCACCTTTTCCCTTATTTTCTTACTTCCAGCCTTAACCTAATGATTACCAAGGGGACCCCTCCGCACTCCGGCCTTTCATACACCCCTTGTGACGGGTGGGGAAATTCACCACCATTCACAGTATTTCACCTAACTCTACCACCTTAAATATATCGCTTATTTTGTATGATAGAAAAAATCCGGGAGAGATAATATTCGGTTCGAAGGCGCCAATACGGTGATGGGCCGAATTTTGTTATCAAGGTCATTCTTTTGTCAAGATTTCAAGGTCATCGTATTTTTTTTTAACGGGACTGCATATTTCCACTACGACAGTCTTATAGCTTATAAAAAAACGAATCCCAGGAAGTGCAATATATTGACCTTCACGTGACCTTCTGCAAGAAAATTTTGAAATGTTTGTCAGTAACTTCAGGACGGTCAGGATAGGACGTGGTGCACGAATTTGTTGGCCAGCTCGATCGCCGGATCTTACGCCACTTGTATCTTTCTGTGGGTACATCTAAAAAGTAAAGTTTACAGTGATGATCCCACAACACCAGAATAACTTTATCAGCCTTACGGCTGGCCGCACCTGGAGGGAGTACCTCCCTATCGGCCCCCCCATTGCTGGGGGATCCCACAACACCAGAATACATGCGACAAAGGGTTCCCCATGAATGTAAATCAATTACTGTAGAACAGCTTAAAAGTGTACAGCAAGAACTTATTTTCCGCCTCCAAAAATGTATCCAGGTCCATGACGCACATTTTGAAAACCTTCTAAAATAAAGATTTAACTTAACCCTTTACGGACGAGAGGCGACTCTCAGTCGCCCGAAAGCCTTTATAATGGAAAAGTCTCGACCGCAAAGGGTTAAGACTGTTAAAATGAAATTGAAATTCCTTCATTTACAGTCCTCGAACGCGTACTGAAGTTACTGACAAACATTTCAACATTTTCTCGCTGAAGGTCACGTGAAGGTAAACATGTTGCACTTCCTTGGATTCGTTTTTTTATAAGCTATAAGAATGTGGTAATGATAATATGCAGTCCCATTAAAAAAAATACGATGACTGAAATCTCGAAAAAAAAAATTACCTTGATAACAAAATTCGGCCCATCACCGTATTGGCGCCGTCGAACAGAATATTTTCTCCCCATGATTTTTTCCTGTCATACAAAATAAGCGATATATTTAAGGTGGTCAAGTCAGGTGAAATACCCGGTATAAGAGACATTGAAATCACGAATTCGTTTCTATGTTCGAAAGTTGATGCATCGTAAATTTTCTACGGCATTTCACTATATATATATTTAGAAACTATTTTTTTTAAGCTAAGAATTATCTTCTATATCTATATTCTAACTTCGGTTCAGTAGATGGAACAATTGAATCACTAAGAAACTTGTTAACATTTAATAGAACATGTTTTATTATATTATTGAAAAAATTCTGTAAATTATCATTCAACAAAAACTACGTTAGGTGGGTCAGAGACGCTCCACAGTAATACTTAAATAATTTTCGTTAATGGTTTTTGTTTATAAATATTTATTTTCTTTAGAAAATTCATTCTGCCCCTCGAGCGATTCGAATTCCGCACTGCTCCCGCCGCTAGTACGCTGCGCGGCCGGAGAGGGCAGAGCGGACAGGAGGAAACCATCGACGGAGTCCAGCGTATGAAACCAGGGGGTAGCACACGATACGATCGCGCGACCCTGCCCGTGAGTAATCTCTCAACTCATCTCTGTTGCGTGCCTGTCTACTTAAAAGTTTAATGACAGGTGCGCGTTGGCAGCTGCGCGCGAGTCATTCTTGGAGAGTAGGTGATGTTCCCAATGTCTCATGATCTCAGTCAAATAATACGACGTACAGTTAAAGACTCCTATCAGTCTTTATTGTCCCGCGATTGTCGGCGATAGTTCTGAACTACAAAGGGTTCTCATCATTGAAATCAAAAGAATGGCAGATTGGAAATAAAGTCGGTCAGGAAGGATCAACGAAAACTGCCGCCGTCACGAGAAACAGTGAGTAGTAACGTACAGTCGTATAGCATTAAAGCAGCATATTGAATTTGCTTTTGACATTCTGGATTAATAAATTAGAAAGGTTAGGTTGAGCGACCTTTGTATATAACAAAGCAACCTTATTCGAAAACGGCATGTAGCGAAAGTTAACCTAGACACGGCCGAACAAACATATCGAAAGACCTTGCAATGTTGGAAGTCTGTTGATTACGTAGATAAATTTATCACGCTAACATATGAACGAGATAACTCATGATTTACATCTCAGGTATGAAGTTACTTAAGTGACGCACAGTTGATTTAAATGGATGTTTCCTTGTATATTTCATTTGAAGATTCGATTTACTTGTTTATTACTTAGTTATTAAGCTAAGTAAGGGTAAGATTTTCAATTCATTTATTTATTTAGGAAATAGTTGAGCCATGGCTTTCCCACCTTTGGTTAGTTCAACGCCACCACCTCTTGATATTTTTGAGGAATCTGATGACGATGAGTTTGGGGACTTTACAACTGGTGGAATTGATGGTATATGTGTGAAATACAGCTATGTTGTTTTTACAAAGAGGTTTTAATAAATTCTATATTTTTATTACTTCAGGATCGTCCGTAGCATCTGATTCCCCTGAAAAGCTTGTCACTCCTGTCAGGACTCCATTTTCTTCTCATGCTGCTTCACCTAAAGTAAATGGAATTACTGGATACTCTCTGCATTTAGATACTTCCAGCAAAGAAGAAAGCACTTTAACGCCTTCATTTACTGATGATGTTTTGATTGTGGAAAAGTCAAATGACACAGTGAGCCGTATAAAATTAGATAATAGGTCTAACAGCAGTAGCATAAACAATGATATGCAGCTAGATTTTGTAAAAGATAGCGAATTAAGTGAATCTGAGAATGACAGAGTGGAAAATGTTAAGAAAGAAACCAATAGTTCCAATCACATTTCTATTCATCAAGACTTAGATGCAGCGAGTTTCATTAACACCAATGTAGTTAGTAGTAACGATAGTAGCTTAGCAGGTAGCATAAAATCCAGGAGCGAACGTGAAGATTCCTTGAATAATTTAGAGATGAATGATGAACCAGAGCCACTTAGCTTGGTTTTGGATGATCCTTCAGATGTACCAGATGTACAGCGAAATCTTGATGATGATTTCTATGACTATACGCATTTTGAAGATACAGTGGGGATTATTAGTGTACACAACGATGATCCACGTCTTGACAATGATAACTATATGCAAAAAAAAAGCGAACTTTCATATAATTTGAATGAGACAAAAATTAATTGTGATTTAAAAGATTATGAAATGACACAGTACAATAATGTCTCCACAGAAAATGATTGTAGTAAAAGTGAAAAAGAATATCAAGATGAAACGGGACAAAATGTTTCAAATTTCATCATGTCAAAGTCAGACGATGGAAATAAACACACTTTTATGCCTAATTTTCAATTCGATCTAAATTTGGATACTGTATGCACTAATGAATTAACACAAAGCAAGAATGAAGAAGAACCATCTGTTATAAACACAAATAATTTCACTGACTCTGGTATAAAGTTTGACACAATTATGGAGCAAAAATCAAAGTCAGAATGTACATATGTAAATAGTATTTCAAAGGATGTGGATATTAGAAGTAGTTCTGATGGATCAGACAACTTTAGTTACTTTGAAGATATAAAGGATAAGGCGACTGCCAATTTAGTACAATCGTCTGTAGCATCCTCATGTTTAAAAGACAACAAAAGTGAAGAGTTCAGTGGTGCCTCTAACAGTAAAGTTTCTGAATTTGCAGAATTTACGACTAATATTATTCTACCTACAAATGCCAAATTAGATGAGATCAGTATCAATGATACAATCTCTACAATAAATCATAATGCTTTGAACAGCCAAATCTGTAATGATCATTTTGATATTTGGGAACATGAAGAAAATGCTTCAAACTCTAACAGAACAGGTAGTAACATTTTGCAAATCAAAAGTGAAGTTATCGCACCAGAAACCTATTCATCCTTCATTGAAAACACACTGCCACCAGATGGTTCTCCTTTTCTAATAAAAAAGGATGAATTTGCTGATTTCACAAGTTTTCCATTTTGTAATGAAATAACAAACGAGCGGTATATGGTAGTAAAGACTGCAGAAAATATTAATCATTTGAAGCACGTAGATAAGCAAAGCGAGCAGGATGATCAGTTGGAAGTTCAATTTAAGAGCGCCGTGCAACAAGATGACGAGTTTGGAGACTTTGCAGATTTTTCAAGTGAGTCAGCTGGTCTGGCTGTGGAATGGGCTCCAGATATGGAAGAACCTGAGTTAACTGTTGAATTTAGAGATAACGTTGAAGGAGATGATGATTTTGGTGATTTTGGTGATTTTGCGTCTTCAGTTGCTGTATTAGAAAGACCTCAAATTAGTTTGAGAGAATCGATAAGTCGAATAGAAAATAAGAATGTAAGTGTAGATCATCTTTCTCATTTCACTAGTTTGATGTTTTCATGTTCAGCATGCTTGCTTAATAATGCACGTTAACCCTTTTATTAAGGTGGATCGTAAACTCGTACTTTAATAATGAATAGATTCATCATCCCCACTGAATTAAGGCAACTTATTTTATGATCAAGAAGCCCTCTAATGATGTTTCAAAACCTTTCAGGCTGCTAATAAGATAGAGGATATTATAACAAATATGTTTCCCTCAGTTCCTGAAGTTATAGAAGCATATTTAAAACTCTTAATAGTTGAATCAGATAAGGTTTGGGATAGTTTGAAAAGTGTTGAGGAAACCAATGCTCTGACTTACCAATGGGCAAATAGTTCCAGTAATAATGTGCTCCTTAGTGCACTTGGGATTGATTCTCGTAATATCGTAAGCCAAAGTATCTTCAGTTTTAATTTTCATAAAATTTGAATTTCATAAGAAATGAAAGATCTGAGCTTAAAAGTGGTTGAATATTGAATAAATTAATAATTACGATTCAATATTTTTAGTTATTTGGACCAAGATGGAACCCTAACATTCCACGGTTTGCAGCAAATCTTGGTTTTTCACCTTTAGAACCTGTTAAAGCCTCTACTACAACTGAACTACAACCTTCAACTTCGTCCTCCACTTCAACAAAGCAGCAAAATTCTTCATCTTCAGAGGTAATACTTGAAATCATAATTAATATAAAATAAATGTATTGATTATAATAACTTTTTTGCAGGAGGTACCAGCAGCACAATTTGATTGGAATAGCTCAGGTCTGGTGAATCCTTTGGACTCCAGTAAGTAATGTCTCTCCTAGTCCTATAATATGCAATTATACAAATCTAATTCCTTTCACTAAATGCTATATGTAGTGCATTCTTATTGATCGAGGGTAGAAAGTACGATATACTTTCTCTTTAAGTACATTTTTTGTTGATGTTAAAAGTTCGTCTTACACGCTTCTTAACTCATGTATCTTGCTTTTTTTGTCTATTTGCTGTTGCCATTACATGTCATTGGGATATGGTATACACTTCGGAAGTGATTCAGTTATTCACATTATGTAATACAGGTGGTGGGCTCTCCGCTCTTCTACCATTGGATTTATTGTGTCCATTTGATCCTCTACTAACACCTCACTGCTCCACACATTCCGATTCCTACCATCATCACGCTGCTTGTTCAAGGAGCTCCATATATTACTGTAAGTCTGAATGCTAGAATTCCTTACCCTTATATGCCTCTGATATGTCGAAAATAACAAAGTACTACCTGCACAATGATTTTTAGGTTAATATCTCATTACATAATGTTATATGTTTGGATTCGTTAATATAATACTGTATTCAACAGATGCAATCGATGCAGTTTCCTCGCAGGACCACAGTTCTCAACATTCAAAAGTACATCGTTCTGCGGAGTCTTTACGTACTAGTCCGACTGAATCGCAGAAACAACACCCTTTAAAACACATTGAACCTTTACCTGGTCCAAGTACAGTGGAGTGGAGGAAGAAAATGGAATCAGTTGGTGGGGCAAAATCGAAAGTCTTATCGCAGAAACCTCAAAAAAGTGTTCCACAACATCATAGCAAACCATTCCCATCAAGCAATTCCTTTGGTAAACTTGAGTCTAGCAAGGCCGAATTAGCCAAATCTGAGGGAATGAAGCATGAGCATTACAGAAAATCTTCTCTTAATAAAAGGGAACATTTACAAAGTCCAGAACATGTGATTATGGATAGGTATGGAAGACCAATGACAGTCAGAGCGGAAACTATAAGGGTCCTTAAGCAGCTACCCGACTTATCTTTCTTAAGTGCGAGAACTTTGCTACACAATCCCGATAAAAAGCAAATTGTTCAAGACTTGGGTGCAATGATAAATCGGAAAATGCCTGGCTGAGTAACATCGGTCTGAATGCGCGTTTGAAAGGGTACACATTGCGAAAAAGAATTGGATATATCTTCTAAGGACGACGTTTCTATCAATATCTGTACATTTACAAAAAGACAAAACCGACTCCTACTACCTTTCAAACCTGTGTTCAGACCAGTCTCTGATTCGCCACTGTTCTTCTGATTCAAAGTGACAATGGACGAATGCATTGCTTAACGGCAATGAACGTTACAATACTGAAGATATTACAATCGCTTTATGTGCTAAGCAATGCACCACACATTCCGAAATATATGCATATTAGGGTGTATCAAAGAATTCAGTCCCTTCTTCGATCACCTTGTTGAGAATTAGTTTTTTCAACAATTCCTTAATACCCTGGATTTTTCTATTAAAAAATAACATACGCCTATTTATTTCAATAATTATATATACAGTTTAAAGGAAGGAAATTTTATATAATGTATCATCTTTTTGACACGCCCTGGTACGTATATGTATGTATAATTACTTGTGATGTTGCATAATATGAAACGCGAATATTTGTTTCTGTTAAGTTTTGGTAATGTTAAGTTTAGGCAGGGCATTTTAGAGTCTTGTAAAATTAACAAGGCATTAAGTACTCAAATTTGGCCATTTTCTAGTCTCTATGAATTTGCTCAGCTGAGTGAAACATATCGCATATTATTGGTTAATTACTTAAACGAGATTCATTTTTAATTTTAAAGGTTAGTCTAACAAACTTATATGTAAAGCCCAAGAATGTAGGGGAAACGATAAATAGTGATATGTGCTTAGCAAAAGGAAAAATCAACGATGAAAGAGTATTTTCCAGAGTTTAAGGTAGGAATGGATTTCGTACAATTCCTCACCTTTTTCTTGTCGCGTAATAACTTGTTTCAAGAGTATTTTAGCTTCCTGAATAGCAAACGTTGCAATTCAACTCAATGAACAGTCAAGTCATTCGCTCTTGTTCAAGAATAAATACTTAACATAAATTGATTACTAATGACAAGTCAATTACTTTAGATTGACTCGACTATACCGGGAATTAATCCTTATAACGTAAACGTTCGGTTAAGCAATTTACGAGATCCAAGTCATACTTTTAATCTGCAACTTAAATTTCCATACAAAGAGCATATGTACTTCAATATGACATAAACTGTTCTTACGATGGTTATTAGACTAGGATTTGTCGGATGCGATCGTTATGTTCATTATTTATTAACAATAATGTAATATATTTTATGTAAAATATTGTGGATATTAATAGATAAATAATGTTCAACGAGAAGATGCGATTTCTTTTATAAATTGATGGAGTATTAAACAAGATTATNATCCCCATGGATCCGTAACGAAAAGGCAAATGGCTACTGGGGAACCATGAGAGATTTTATGTAAAATATTGTGGATATTAATAGATAAATAATGTTCAACGAGAAGATGCGATTTCTTTTATAAATTGATGGAGTATTAAACAAGATTATGAGTTCTAGAAATTTAAATATCAGGAAATTCGGTAGAGTTTCGTGCCAAATAATAGTGCATGCATTCTACTGAAATTATAATAAACAAGACACTCGCCAGTGTAGCCCGTTTTTTACAATCAAATTACAAATTAAGTTTGGCACTATCGACGAATTCTGACGTCTTTTAGAAGCCCATTGGGATAGTCCAAAGCGTGCTTAACAGGAATTACTCCAACTTTGAAAAGTTTGAGAAATATTCCACCCAGAGGTGAGCGGGGAGATGTTTCACGCCATTGTTAAAAAGTGAGGGGGATATTACGGTTTCCGTGGCGCCAAGGTTTAACAGTTGATTATGATTGTGTTTGATATGAACAAACATCATCATAAAGGAAAAGTTGATATCTTAATTAGTTTGTGAGATATTAATTATTTTCTTTGATTTTAGATATTGTAATTTTTAAAAATATCTCGAATACTGTGCGAGATACAATAATGTGTGATTCCCTATAAAAAAGGAGATATGCATTTTTATAGTATCTCGCATAGTTTTGTAGATATATTGAATTTAGTTGAAAATGTCTATTGACACAACAAATAACGTCAATTTTTTCGAAGAAATTTGTAAGATACCGGTGAACAACATACAATATTTTTTGTAGGGAATATAATTTTCTATATAACTGCTTCTATGTATTTTTTGTTGTATTCGTCGTAGATTTAGAGATATTGCGAGTCGAATTTCGAAGGAACGTGTACTTTGCAAATTTTAAAATCTTGATGCCTTCTTTTGGGGGTTTCCGTCGCGTCAAAGTTTGACAATTATTACTTACAAATTTTTGCATGGAAAACATGAATTTAAATATAGAAAGATAATATCTTATTCTAATATTTTATTTTTTATAAATAATTAAGAGTTAGATCGATATAATAGTTAATGGCCCTGCAAAATTTGGGGTTCAGGGGCGAAGCCCCCCAGAAAAAAAATGATCTCGTTTTCATCATCAAAAAATCGAAATAAAAAATATCTAAATACAAAAAATATAGTAGTTTTCGTCAGAACTGTTTTTCAAAGTTCGGTCCGGCCGATTTTTTCGTTTCCATGCCCCTTAGGTTTTAGAAATTATTGTCTGACGAATATAGTCATCTGGTTTGTAGTTTAGGTTAGTCGCGAGAGAGGGCTGGGGGACGAAGGCCCCCCATCCACGTATTTGTAACTGATGATGGACAGGAATTATGAATTAGTTTCTAATATGATTTTTCCTATTCGTTCACTTTCTGGCGTGTACTTACTATCGCGTATAAGAAAACATATTTATGACATTTGGGAAATAAAGCAACCGTGACACACAAATTTGAATAAAAATTTGATTTTGATTTGAACAGGATGAATCTACGGGACCCAATGCATAGACCAATTCAAAGATGGCATGACGTTTGTAAAATTTGTAAAACACAGGTTCCTTCGACGCGCAATATCTCAAAAACTATAACAAATACGAAAGAAATACACAGAAGCAGTTTTGTAGAAAATTGAATTTCCTATAAAAATGGTTGTATATTGTGCACTCATCATACTTCTTCGAAAAAATTGACATGATTGGTGTCAATAAGAATTTCAACTAAATCCATTATATCTAAGAAAAACTATGCAAGATACGTTAAAAATGCATATCATCTTCCTTTTAGGGAATCACATTTTCTATCGAAAGGGTTATATGAAATTTTATTGTATCTTGCATAGTATTCGAGACATTTAAAAAAATTAAAATATCTAAAATCAAAGAAAATAATTAACATCTCCCACACTAATTGAGACATCAATTTTTCCTTTGAGATGATATTTGTTCATATCATACACAATCATAATCAAGTGACAAACCTTGGCGCCATGGAAACCGTAGTTTTGCCAAAGTGAGCCTATGGCGCATTCGGCTACATGCGTGTAGCTATATTTTATCCGACTTGTTCGCCTGTTATTTGATTTTTATTAATGATAAATGAACCACTGTATCAATTGTGACATGGCAAAATCTTTGCCCGTCACAAGGGGATTTTGCTAATGTCGGAACGAGGAGGAGTCCTGCTGACAATCACTAGTATAAGTGTTAATGTTGCATAAAATTCATGTAAATACCTTAATTTCGTAGTCGTGCGCAGGCGCGACGCGCATCGTCGCGCAACGACGCGCGACATTTAATTTTCCAGGCTCGCGAAACGTGCGCGGGGCCCCAAATTTGGGGACCCTGCTGCCATCCATCGGCGGCCGCCCTAATTAGGCGGCCTAGTGCCCTATTTTGACAAGGCCAGATGGCAGGCCGGCGCGCGTTAAGAGGTTCCGGAGGATACGCCAGGAGAACGACAGCGCTGGAGGGAAGATCTTCCGGCGGAATCCTGATTGCCAGAGGGACTGGGCCTCCGAAAGGCAACGACGTGGGGGAGGGGCAGCCCCCACGCGTCCAAAAGCTATCCGTAAACCTCCTCGTGGTGAGGCTGGATGCGGATCCCCATGGATCCGTAACGAAAAGGCAAATGGCTACTGGGGAACCATGAGAGATGCTCGCTCTGCGGAGTTCGACCGCACTCTTGTTCCCCCTAGAGTTACCGGCGAAAGGTGGCCCTCATCATGGGAATACTTCTCGACCGGACGGCTGGAAGTGCTCCGGGTAACCCGTCCCGCGTCCCGGTTCTCCGGGTGCGGGTTGGGGGCCGGCCCTACCGGCCGTAATAAGAAGGCCGGCGAGCTAGTACGGGCCGATAGGCGGGATAACCGATCCTATATTTGTCGGGTCAACTCGGCCGATGGATCGGGTTCCCACCCGACCTAGCCGGGAAAGCTCGCCAAACCACGCTGGAGCATTACGTCTCAGCTGGCGCCTTGCACGGATGCTTGCACCACGCGGGTGCAGGGGAGAGACCTCCACGGGGTTCCCCGCGGACAACGGGCAGGATCAAGCGGCCTCCCTTCGGGGAGTGCGTCGCGGAGGCTCCGACCCGGCTAGCGCCTCCCCAGGGTTTTGTCGAGCGGTCCGGAGCATTCGGATTTTTCCAAGTCCGTCATGGGCCACCAGGCCCCCATGATAGTGGGGGCGCTGGAGGCAGATGGTAGTTTAACCCCCCAGAAATGGGGGGGGGGGCCGCTAGGGAGGTTCTGCCTCCAGGCGCGGCCGGCCTCGGCCGATACAAACTCTGCCAGAGAGACTACCGCACTGGTTTAAGCTCCCTGACGTTTCGTCCCGTCAGCGGCAGCGCTACTCTTCCAGCCAAGAGAGTCCCGAAGGGCACCGTGCCGTTGCGCCCCGAAGGACGCCTTACCGTCCCGGGAGCCATCAGCGCTGCCGCCGTCCGAATGGAATCGTACCGTCTCCCGTAAGATCGAACTGTACCGGTGAGCCGAGCCTGCCCAAGGGGCCCCTTAACCGCCATTTTCCTGCCGTTCCGCGAGCCGAGTTCAAACTATTTCCCTGTCACGAGAATGTTGTGTTCGCGTGTAAACGTCCCTTTATCGCGTCGGACTTTATCATCTTTTATACAGCGACCTAGCCGTAGATTATCGTTTTATTGTATCTCGCGCCGATTCGTGGCCGCCTTGCCAAGGTGGTCCTAATTCTCATAAAGTTTCGTTTCCCGCCTTCCTTAGCGAAGGGAGCAGGTAAGTCCCTCCGCGGTTCGCAGGGTGCCGGCCTGCTGGATTCGGATGTGAGTGTTCGGTCCGCGGATGATTCGACCGGGTCTCTTCCCTTAGGCGGCACCGTCCGATCCACGAAGTGGAGGCGACTTCCGTCGGATTGCATCGCGCGTTTTTGTACTGAAATTTGTCGGGAGGAAATTCTCGCGCGCCCTTTTGTACCGTACCCCTCAAGTATCGAAGGTATCGTCCTAATTCCGCCGGAAGTTACCGGGGAGAATTTCCGTGGCCACGTGCGAGTGGGCCCAGGGCGCGCAAGGAACGTAGGAGCCATACCGCGGACCGGCGCAACCGTCCCATTACCGCTGCGCAGTTATCGGGCGCCGGGCTCTTACCGAGGCTTCAAGGGGCAGAATAGGTTCTCCTGACCGGGCGTTGTGCCCTTGTGGGCCCCTGCCGAGGGGTTACCCACGCTGGCGCGACCTATCGAATTTGGTATTTCCCTTTTTCACGCCTGTCCCGTTCGACAGGCGCCCCCAGTCCCGTGAAGATTGTTCCGCGGACGCGCCCGTATGTTGAGGTCAGAATAGGGCCCCAAATAAAAATCCTGACAACGATTTTATCGCATATCATTTGTGATTATTTAACATCCAATTTATTTCCGAATTCCGTGGCCGACTTCTCCTCGCTCATTTTAAGTTCGTAACGAACCCCCCAACTCTACCGTGCCGCGAAGGGCGTAAGATCCTCACGGGGCTGAATGGCCCGGCGGATACGCCTGGGTGGGTCCCGTCGACCGGACCGAGTCGGCCTGCTCGCGCTACCGGGTACCGGGATCCCGAGGTGCGCGTGCGCACCTGGCGCCCTAAATAAATCGGGCTCCCGGAAGCGCCGAAGATCGGGCTTGACACCCTTTTTCCTAATTTACACCAGGCGTATGGCTGTTTACCGACCAGGGATAGAAATGCCCGTCGCACAATATAATCACAGTACTTATTATTGAGCCTATTTGGCATATATTAGCTGTCTTTGTCATAAAACTTAATAGACCGCGCTTTTTGGTACTTCGTCGTTATTCTTCTTCTTGTCTTGTACTACCTATCTAATCGTATAGTTATACGGCGAACCAAGATGTGATTACGCGTTGCCCTATCGGAGCGTCGCTTGTGACGTTTGCCTGAACTGCGTATATAGGTA